TTAGATAAGATAATATTCAGAATTAAGTTTTCATTCCTTACTCCATACCCTACTCCCACCCACCGCCCATCACCGCCATCAGCCACCACCGCTGGCGACTGCCTCAGACAACAACCACAGGCCACCACTCTGGTTGGTCGCTTAGACATTGGAGAATAGATAACAGACATAATAAAATCACATATTTAATTTGGCGCGGTTTCTAAAAGAGGGAAAACAATTAGCACAATTATGCATCATCCAAATCATACAATTAAAATAATTAAGTCCAATTCTAGCTTTGCAATACTTCATTTTTTTAATCTAGTTTCTAAACAGGAACCAAATCTATATTACATTTTAAGGCATGATGAGAAATTCAATTATACATAATAATGACAACACATAAGTCATGATTTTACTTTGGTTTTCAAAGTCATTTTGCTCAGAAGAAGCATAGTAGTAATCACAGACAACTTATATGTCCAGACATAATTTTAGCGTCTTCATCATAGCAGCAAGCATATTAAGAAGTATACTGAAAAAAAAAACTTAAGCTTAAAGTCAGACAATGCAAGGATACTATAATAGTAATAGAGTATATCACAAAATCTATATCAGACACAAACAAAAAGTGTTCAAAACAATGTGGAAGCTTAAACCTACGAACTTGCACGTAAAATACAGCATAGTCCAGGATCTCTGAATGATTGTGCATTTTGTGCATACTGTTCTGTACTGATTATGTATATATGTATGAAAGTCTTTTTGCATACAGACTGCCATAGCTCATTGGACATTGTTTATTTACTGTTTTGGCTTCCGCCAGGCCCTGTACTCTGTTTTACTGTTTTACTGTTCTGCAGGCCTTCGGTAATCTCGGATTACTGGCTGGTTACGGTGGTAAACCCATAGGGCTGGGTTTGGGTCGTGACAGTAGTATCCACTGCGATCTGGTTTCTTTGGTGTGTCGCCAGTCTGGCCGACGTCTTTCACTCCACGATTCTGGTCACGAGTTTTTTGCGTTGCATTCGTCTCTTGTGATATCAAAGTTAATAGGTCTCCCACTCCCAGCAGGAGTGTCGTCCCCAATCTTTTCCTTCTGTCCGTTACTGGCCATCTATTTTACTTTCTTTCCCACAGACGGCGCCAAATTGTGTAAGTGATTTTCCGATCACACTGCCCAACTTAATATTCAGCTGGAGAACACTGGTAGAATAGATGACACTTGGCTAACCTGCAACAGAGAGAGAAGATTCCGGCGGTGGTTCATCCACCCGGGGGCACTCCGACGATCAAGTCAGTATATCTCTCAAAGATAATCAATAATGCAAATCTCACTGTCCAGAATATCAATTGCGTACCTTAGACCCATGGGGTTGCCTCTGTTTTATAGCTAACTCAATCCTTTTCCCAATAGGAGCCTAACTCTAATGGACTTAGGATTACTGCTAATATTAAACTCCCAGTAGGATTATGATAAACTCTCTAAGAGTCTTATCTTTACTCAAACTGAAGTCTTCTCCCATTCTAAGACTCTTGTGCCTTATCCGCTTATCTCGGATTCCGATATCCTCGGAGGTAACCTCGGCCTCGTTAAGATAACCTCGGCGTCACGACCAGGACACGTGGTACCTCGACTGACACGTCGGCGTCACCTTACCACGTGTTGGTACTCAAAAATATATCCCCACACAAGCGTAAGAACTATTATTAATATTAGGAAAATATATAAAATATGAATTGAAATTTATAAAAAAAAATATTGAAATTATAAATATTTTAATATTTCTTAATTTTTATCGACGTTAGTAAGATTTTTTTTTAAAATATTGATTTAATGGGTTGGGACCCATACCATAATTCACATGCTAAGTGAGGAACAGAAGGTTTATCACGTGCACTCCAGTGTCAATTTAACTCACTCACAAATGCGAAACCCACGGGTCTTCTTCTTTTGTCCCCATTTCACTCTCTCCCTCGGCTATAGAAAACCCGTGGACAGGGACTCTGAATGTACAGGGGCTAAAAGTTTTTAAGTAAATTCACACGACTATAAAGGGTAAATTTGGCTAATAATAATAATGGACCCTCCACATGAATTTGGTTAATAAAAATAACCCAAGGGCCCAGAGACCCGGTTAGTTTTTGGATCGACACATATTTTTGTTTTTGTTTTTTTTATCGACCAAAGTGACATGATGTGCTCACAAAAGATAAACCCTTGGGATTATCTACTGTCCGTATACTGGATCAGTTTACACGAGCGTTAGTTTGATAATTTGATCCATTCAGGATAGTTTGGGTATATGTTTTTTTAGTATGTTTTTTTTTTTTTGGGTATTTTAGCTAAAATATGAGATAAAAATATTGATATGTTTGAAATAATTTTTGATATTTTAAAAAAAAATGTACAAAAAATAAAATAAATAGAAACGGTTTTTAGACTAAAGTTGTAAATGACCTTTAAATTTTACTAAAAAGTGTATTATTCATAAAAATAAATGATTAAAACTTGGTTTAATAACCTTGAGGTTATGGGTTGAAGTCTTGGGACCATCACTTTGTACATTATGCCAAAGGTTAGGTGTGTACTCAATCTTTTCCCTCCCAAATACACATTAATCTGTATTAATTGAACGTTGTTTTTATTATTCATACAAATAGGATTTAATAATTATAGTCAAATGATTTTATTGCACTTATTGTCTAATTTTTTATAAACAACTCGTTTAACGAATGGATTGAATCACTAAAGTGGGATCATGTTGGGTACATTATTAAAGAAAATAAAAAAAATGGAGCCTCTATGTTTATTTTATTTTATTTTATTTTCTAAAATATCCTTGTTTTTGCCTAGTGGGAATAATTTGGGACCTAAGAATGTACTCTTTTTAGATCTCAAGTTTTAATATTCATAGCCTCATTAAGTTCTTTTGGGCCATTCATATGTGAGCGGTGGAATTGACCCTCCAAAATTAGTTGAAATGCGCATAAGCTATCAAAAAAAAAAAAAACTCTAGGTTTAAGCTTTTGTAACAAAAAATACTCTGAATTTTTAATTTTTTAAACATATACATAAAATATCAAAATTTTATCAATTTAAATAATAATCTTTTGATTTATTTTTAATATAAATCATTCGCCTATTAAACATATACATAAAATATGAAAAATATCATTTTTATTGAGTCTAATGATTAAAATATCATTTTTGTATTGATTTTACTCAACAAAAATATGCAAATGATTTAGATTAAAGATAAATTAAAAGTTTAGAATTTAAATTGATAATATAAAAAATTTAGAATTTATTTTTTTTATAAGGGTCAAAGTTTGAGGGATTTTTTTTAATTTGTCCTTAATTTAATTGGGAATAATTTTAAGCAAATTCATAAAAATAAATCAAATTATAATGTTTCAAGATAGCATTCTTTGGGGGATATGATGATTGCTGATCCACTGGGGAGCTAAATCGAAGATTGTGTGTTTGTGGATGACGTGATTAGTAGAGATCGAAATACACTGGGTTGTGTGAGTTTGAATTTTCTTGTAGAGTCTGAATTTTCTTATATCATGTCGTTGTTTCTCTCAGCTTGATTATTTGTCCTTTGCCTCGCGCATATTTATTTTCTTTTGGTGAGGACATAATTTTAGGGTCATGTCATCGAGGTGTTGGCCGAGATATCATGTAGGTGAACTCGATTACCAAAGGGATTGTTGTATTACTGAGATATGGTGCGGTAATATCGGAGTCTAAAATATTTGGATAGAAGACATGAGTCCTAAATAAGTGAGACGCTTAGTTCGGATAAAGATGAGGCTCTTTAGGACTTCATCCATATCTAACTAAAAGTCCGAGATAAGCGTTGTGTCTGAGTCATATGAAATGAGACTTCTAAGGGACGAGGGCACTACTAATTATAAAAGTAAGGCACCCCTGTGTGTTTAAAGTATGCTTTTACTTGTGCACTGTTCATTTGAGTTGATATCTTTATGAGATAAGTGACTGACTTGATCATTGGAGTGCCTCGGGGTGGATGAGCTACCATGGTATTCTTTTCTTCTTGTGTGCAGGTGTTTGGTTTAACCTATTCTGTCGCGTTTTCTCTACCTAAGTTCCCTGTTTGGTTATGAAGTCAGAAATCAATACCCACAATTTGGAGCCGTCTGTGGGAACTTAGTAAAGGATAGATGGCCAATGTTGGACAGCAGGTGGGAGTCAAAAACGACATACGTAAGTGAGGAAGAGGAGTACATAGATCTAAGTGTCGAAGGAGGAAATAATGAAGACGAATAGCAAGAACTAAATACTGAAGGCCGTAATGGCTCGAGAAGAGGCAACCAAGAAGAATATTATAACGAGAGCGACTTCTAGGTATGGAAAGAAAAGTGCCCAAGAAGAGACGATGAGGTAAAGGACTTGGCAAACAAACTAACGGACTTGTAAATCGTTGTGAACTTTATGATGCAGAACAAAGTGATGCAACCAGCGTTGCCCTTACCAACAATGCCGACCCTAATAGCAAATGCCTGCACCCAGAATGAGGGACAGGTTGCTGTGTCAACTGTCCCGTAACATGAGAAGTGGCCTGGGAACTCACACGGGCGATCACAAAATGTCGAACGGACAGAATCACAGTGGGAGGAGTCACAAAGAATCTCGAGGACCAGAGGAACCTAGACCAGGGGATCTCGATAGATCAACGAGCAGGGTCTCTGCTTTAAAGATGTAATAGAAGTGGAGAAGTCCAAAAAGACATCCCAACATTGGAAGTAGCACACTAAAGGGACTGAAATCAATCGATAGCCGAGCTCTTCAGCAGATGAAGGAAGACTTGCGAGATTACCTCCAGAGGAAAAGGTAGGGCATCGAGGTCACGTCCATCGCTCAGCCGAGAACACCTTTCTCAGTAGAGTTGGATTCATTCAAGGCACCGAAGAGATTTAGTATGCTAAGGTTCCAGATTTATGATGGTAAGTCAGATCCGAACTTTCATGTTAGTTTGTACTTAAATACAATGTCTTTGTGGAGTGGAAACAAGCAGTTGTTATGCAAGGTGTTCCCATCACCATTTGGGGAAATAACATCAGATTGGTTCCTCAAACTGCTAAAGGAATATATCAAAAATTGGGAAGGCCTGGCTGAGATGTTTGTGGCCAAGTTTGTTATGAACAAATTGCAGCCATTGAGAGTTGATTACCGGTTGGCCTTGAAGATTGACAATGGCAAAAGCCTTAGGGCTTACGCCAAGAAATACTATGAGGTTTGCAACCAGATACCTACTTGTAACTAGGAACTTGCAGTCGTGTCTTTTAAGAATGGCTTAGAGAATGATTTCCCACTTTAGCAATCCCTTGCAAAGACCCTCCCAAAGAGCATGGAGGATCTCATGGCAAGGATTGAGAAATACGCAAGAGCGGAGGAAGACACGAAAGTAAAGAAGGCGAGTATAGTGAAGTAGGAGAAGAGAAATAGCTTACCAAAGCGCAACCAAGGAATTACCGACATTGACAAGTTGGAACCAAGATTGAAGGCCATGTAGACTGTGAGCATAGTTTTCAAGATCCCAATCTACAGGATCTTGGAAAGAATCAGGAACCAACCCTACTTCAGGGCACCGCAAAAGACCCCGAGGGAGTACATAGGCAGGAATTCGAGAAGAATTGTGCTTACCATGACGAGAATGGGCACATGACTCAAGGGTGTCGGGCTTTGAAACAACACCTGGAGGATCTGGTCGGGTGGGGACACCTAAGAGACTTGATAGACGAGGCAAAGACAAGAAAAGAACATGTGAACAGGCACAAGCACATGGATAGGCATCGACAGCACCACCACCACTTCCAGTGTCATAGGCAGATGGACCACGAGTTATTAATGTAATCCACTCAAAGGTCAATGCGAACAAAATCCGAGGAGAAACACAAAGAGTAAGGCATCTACAGCATGTCTTCCAAGTCCAACAGAAGAAGCAGATGAAGAGACACCCTGGGCCGATGATCTTGCTCATAGACGAAGACCTGGATATGGTGTATCATCCACATAATGATGCTTTGATAGTGTAACAACCCCGATTCCTTATTAATGGTAATCCATGGCTAATTATGCTTAATTGATAATTAAGGTGAAATTTTGAATTAAGCTGCATGTGTGTGTTGCATAAAGTATGCCTCTATTTGTCTAACCTAGGAAAATCTATTTATGTTTTTCTTTCGGTTTGCAAATTGAAGGCCTTATCGGCATCTGAATCAGAAATTGGTTTAATTTATGTGCTAATTAGGATTTATAGAATTTTATGGTAGGTTTAATTGAAATTCGATTTGGAACGATTAAATTAGATTGAACTAATGTCCACTAATTAACTTTTATTAAACACACTTTTGTTTAATGGCCTAATTAAGGCCTTAGTGGCCTCATTGATCACCATACATTTCCCCACTCACTCTCCCCAAAACGTGAGAGAGAGTGAGAGAAGGGAGAATTGACCCAAGACTTGAGAATTTGAGCTCAATTAAGGGGAATTGTTGGCATTTGGAGAAGATTTAAAGATCTTAACTTCAACCTTGTAGCTTCAAGCCTCTAGGTAAGGAATTGAACTCTTAATTGAGTAATTGATGTAGATTCTACAAGATTATTGGTGAATTAAGTGAATTCATGTAGGAATTGCACTAGAATTAGAAAGAATTGGGCCATACCATGCATGCATGTTCATTCTTCACAAATTGAGCATGTTTTCAAAAAATTCTTTCATGCATGTGTTCATCTCACGTACACTTTAGTTATTCATCATGTTTTCTATCCAATTGTCAAATTTGATCTTGTTTTGAAGTTTTTGAATTCATGGGAGTTCATGCATGTTGTATTTATGAAATATTCAAAAAGGTTATGTTAGAATTTTATGTAATTGACAAACTCTTGGGCCATAATTTTGTGAAATAATCCTTAATTCATCATGTTTTACAAGTTTACTGTGTTATCTCAAGTTTTGGGGCCCAAGAGATGTGTTTTGAAGAGTTGAATTCATGTTTTGAAGCTTGGGAGCTGTCACGTTCATGCATGTTGTATTTATGAAATATTCAAAAAGGTTATGTTAGAATTTTATGTAATTGACAAACTCTTGGGCCATAATTTTGTGAAATAATCATTAATTCATCATGTTTTACAAGTTTACTGTGCTATCTCAAGTTTTGGGGCTCAAGAGATGTGTTTTGAAGAGTTGAATTCATGTTTTGAAGCTTGGGAGCAAATCTGGAAAACCCACAATTTTGCTCTAGCGACCATCCTTGTTTTCATGCTTCCACTCGAGCGACAAAAGGCTGGCTCGAGCGTAAATTGCAAGCTCTCAGAATTTTTGCGTGTAGAAGCACGCTCGAGTGACAGAACTTGCGCTCGAGCGAGGACCTGTGTCTCACGCTCAAGTGAGCGTCGAGCAGAGATTTCATACAACCAGAACTTTTTCACATTTTGCTGACCGCTCGAGCGAAGGAGTCTACGCTCGAGCGAACACTCACATTTGGCATGTCCGCTCAAGCGAATGAAGCCACGCTCGAGCAAGACCCTTATTTCAGTAAAATTTTGGCCAAGTGTTTTAAGTACATTTTTGCATCCTCATTCCATCCTAGGCATTCCTAGGTCATGATTAAGACTCCATAATGAGATGAAAGACTAGTAACACACTAAGAACAAACAAAATAAGTTATGTATAGTTCGAGCATGTGTTTCAAGTGTGCATTTGTACGTGTTTTTGTGTAGGCCACGCGCCTCGGGATAAGTGAAGTAACACTTTGCCATCTAATTGGAGCTATCAATTGTTTGTGAGTAATAACTTTGTAAAGTTATGTTCAATGTTAAATATTTTTTGGACATTATGATATGAAATGACAAGTTTTTGAAATGCTATGCTATGTTTGAAAGGAATGAATAATTGTCCAAAATTCTAAAAGTTATTCGTGGCATCACTAAGATCATATGATATGCATCTCTTTATGGGTCATCAGGTCCTTTTATGGGTCATCAGGTCCCTTTATGGGTCATCGAAAACGTCTCTATGCACATGAGTCATCAGAAAGCCATCATGGCAGTCCCTTGTAGGTCATCAGATTTGTTAATACTAATGGATATGCCACATACCATGATATGTTGTATGTTTAAGTTCTGAATACAAATGCAATCATGCCAATGAATCTATTATGTTATGACATCCGATCACGTACAAGACTTTGTTTCTGTATGGACATCATTCAGTAAAATCTTTACTCTGTTATTATTCACTGGGCTTTAGCTCACTATTTATATTATGTATGTAGGTGAGCCAGCACATGATCAAGCCCAAAGTTGATGGCCTGCACTTCAGTTTTGTCAGCCAACCTTTGTGCCTCCCAAGGAGGTTCCGATTGAAGTCAAGTTTCATGGCTGTTTTTGTAAACACACTAGACTATGTTTATACTATGCTGTGTTTGGACAAGATGTCTGATGGCATGTACTTGGAGTGTGTGTAAATATTGTATCTTATTATAAAGAGGTTTTAAGTTATCAGCCCCATGTATGTCAGTACAGCTCAATGGACTATACATATTCTGTATGTTGCTTCCGCAGCCCCTTGTTATATGTTATTATGTCATGAGGCCTTTGGTAATCTGAGGATTACTGGCCGGTTACAACGCTAAACCTATGATGGCGGGTTTGGGTCGTGACAGAGTGGTATCAGAGCACGAGTTATACCGCGCACACAAGTCCATGTGAGCTTAGGATGTCCTAGTAAGAAGTAGGGGCATTCCATTTGCATGTCTAAGCATATTGTTCGAAAGTGAAAGTATAAATCCAAGGAATGAATTTGAATAAAGTAACAAGGACTATCTGCCTATGTTTATAAAGTTTTGTTTACCTATAGCAAATGGATAATGCAAAGAATGATGATGCAGCAGGGTCCTCAAATGCCCAAATGAATAGAATGGAACAAATGCTTGCAACCTTAACCGAAGTAGTAATGCAACAACAGAGGCAACAACCTTTACCACCTCCACCCCCGCCGGCTCAAGTTGAAACAGGCAACAGCAACATAATTAACATGACTCAGAAATTTATGAAGATGAAGCCTCCAACTTTCTTGGGTGGCATTGAACCACTAAAGGCAGAAACTTGGCTACTGGAGATGGAAAAACTATTTGAAGTGTTCCCCTGTTCCGAGGTTCAAAAAGTCTTATTAGCCACTTACACTCTGAAAGATGAAGCTCGGAGATGGTGATTACTGGTTCGGAATGACAATGAGAATATGACATGGGCCCAATTTAATACAATTTTCTATGACAAGTACTTTCCCCAGTGCTTCCAAAATCGGAAGGTTTCAGAATTCCAGGAACTCAAACAAGGCAGAATGTCTGTAGCTGAGTATGAGGCTAAGTTTACTGAATTGGCCAGGTTTGCTCCTCATATGGTAGATACGGACTACAAGAAAGCCCGAAAATTTGAAGGTGGATTAGACTTAAGAGTTATTTGATCGGGTAGGTGTCTTAAAGCTGCCTACATATATGAATGTACTTGATGGAGCATTCATGGCTAAGGCCAATATGGCAACAAAGAAACAAGTTAAAGTGACAACAATAGAATAGAAGATGCAACCAGAACTTTTTCACATTTTGCTGACCGCTCGAGCGAAGGAGTCTACGCTTGAGCGAACACTCATATTTGGCATGTCCGCTCAAGCGAATGAAGCCACGCTCGAGCAAGACGCCTATTTTAGTAAAATTTTGGCCAAGTGTTTCAAGTACATTTTTGCATCCTCATTCCATCCTAGGCATTCCTAGGCCATGATTAAGACTCCATAATGAGATGAAAGACTAGTAACACACTAAGAACAAACAAAATAAGTTATGTATAGTTCGAGTGTGTGTTTCAAGTGTGCATTTGTATGTGTTTTCGTGTAGGCCACGCGCCTCGGGATAAGTGAAGTAACACCTTGCCATCTAATTGGAGCTATCAATTGTTTGTGAGTAATAACTTTGTAAAGTTATGTTCAATGTTAAATATTTTCTGGACATTATGATATGAAATGACAAGTTTTTGAAATGCTATGCTATGTTTGAAAGGAATGAATGATTGTCCAAAATTCTAAAAGTTATTCGTGGCATCACTAAGACCATATGATATGCATCTCTTTATGGGTCATCAGGTCCCTTTATGGGTCATCGAAAATGTCTCTATGCACATGAGTCATCAGAAAGCCTTCATGGCAGTCCCTTGTAGGTCATCAAATTTGTTAATACTAATGGATATGCCACATACCATGATATGTTGTATATTTAAGTTCTGAATACAAATGCAATCATGCTAATGAATCTATTATGTTATGACATCCGATCACGTACAAGACTTTGTTTCTGTATGGACATCATTCAGTAAAATCTTTACTCTGTTATTATTCACTAGGCTTTAGCTCACTATTTATATTATGTATGTAGGTGAGCCAGCACGTGATCAGGCCCAGAGTTGATGGCCTGCACTTCAGTTTTGTCAGCCAACCCTTGTGCCTCCCGAGGAGGTTCCGATTGAAGTCAAGTTTCATGGCTGTTTTTGTAAACACACTAGACTATGTTTATACTATGTTGTGTTTGGACAAGATGTCTGATGGCATGTACTTGGAGTGTGTGTAAATATTGTATCTTGTTATAAAGAAGTTTTCAGTTATCAGCCCCATGTATGTCAGTACAGCTCAATGGACTATACATATTCTGTATGTTGCTTCCGCAGCCCCCTGTTATATGTTATTATGTCATGAGGCCTTTGGTAATCCGAGGATTACTGGCCGGTTACAACGCTAAACCTATGATGGCGGGTTTGGGTCGTGACAAAGTGATATCAGAGCACGAGTTATACCGCACACACAA